CACACACACACACACACACACACACACACACACACAAAAAGAATCTTGAATGGCGATGGGGAGGGGGGGAAATGAAACAGTTCACTGCCCTTGACACGGCGAATGGGTGCGGGTGGGGGAGCGGGACGATGAGGAGTATGGTTTTGGGTACTGGAAGCACGGGTTGAAAGTGAGGAAGACAGAAAGACTCACTTGATTGAGCCAGTCGACGCAGGCGTCCAATTCGACGAAGCCTCCAACCAAGAATGACAAAGCCTCAAGCTGAGCAGCACCAATGCACGTCCGAGTTCTTGAAGTGCGACGCACCAAGTTCATGAAGCACGTAAGGAGGGAGAGGGAGAGGAGCACCAACTCGTGGTTGCACTCAAAGCACGTAGCGCGAAGCACCAAGTTCACCTAGCAAGAAGCACGAAGCACCAAGTTCACGTGGCACGTAGCAGAGAGGAGAGACAGTTGCACCAATGGGTAGCACGTAGCTCGTAAAAGGACGTAGTGCCAAAGCGCTTAGAACCGAGAGAGAAAGAGATGAGTTGGACAAAGTCGAAGCACGTAGCTCGTAGAATCTTGCACACGTAGCACGTAGAATCTTGCACACGTAGCACGTAGAATCTTGCACACGTAGCACGTAGAATCTTGCACACGTAGCACGTAGCTCGTAGAATCGTGCACACGTAGCACGTAACTCGTAGAATCTTGCACACGTAGCACGTAGCTCCACGCACCAATCACGAAGGACGAAGCACGAGGCACCAAAGCTCGAAGCACCTAGCAGCGGTTCACGTAGGAGAGAGAGAGAGAGAAACAGTAGCACCAAAGCTCGAAGCACGCAGCACAGAGAGAGAGAGAGAGAGAGAGAGGGGCAGGTAGGTCTCGTAGGGTAGGTCGCGTAGGGCAGATCGTGCAGGTGGGCCGCCTACGGGAGGTACATCCGGTAGCGCAGGTCGGTAGCCAACGCTACCGTAGGGCGCGTGGGGTAGGCCGGATAGGGGAAGTCCGTCCGCGCAGGTCGCGTAGGCAGGTGCATCCGGTAGTCCAGGTACATGCGTAGGTTTCCTTTTTGGTCGTGCGCCCCCGCGAATCCAGATGGCCAGCTACGTTTCCTTTGTTTTTTCCCCGAACGGCGACCCCTCTGCTTCTTTTCTTTGTTCTTTTTTTTTTTCCTTCAAATCTCACTTTATATTCCAAAAACAAGAACCGAAAGAAACCAAAAAGAAAGGACGGAAACGGGGGAGCGGCGTTACCGGGAGGCGTAGCGCAGCGCTCCGGTAACTCCGTCGTCGCGGGCGGCTAGCGCAAGCGACGCTACCTGGCCGACACCTCCGCCATCGCGAGGGAGATCGGGAGGCGCGCGTGCACACCGCCACATCGGTGGTGAACTTCGGTCCGAGATGTACTCACGCCGTCTAGGTAGTCCTTAGCCATCTTAGGGTTGGACACTAAGATGTGCCTCCGCGAAGCTGGGCCTTAGTCACGGGCCAGAGGTAAAGTAGGAGGGGATCGAGAATCTGAACAGCGGTGAAAGGAGTTTTCATGGTTAATTGCCCAGGAGATTTCTCGTAGCCTGGGTAGTCCATAGCATATTTTGAGGGAATTAGAGAAGCCCTGCGTACGGTGGATCGAAATCACTCGCGAAAGAGAGGGGGGAGCGCCGGTAGCGGGCGGGTAGCGTAGCGCTACGGTACCGGCGTCGCTCTGGAATTCTCGCGGAGCGCTGTTCACCCGCCAACCTCGCCGTCACGACGGGGTGCGGGAATTGAGGTGCGCGCGCTCCATCTCGAGGGCGTGAGGTTTCGACCTCTCCGCATTGTCTCTCTGAACAGTCCATTACCGTGGTAGGGTAGGGATCAACCGCGGAGCCATCGCCATAGCCAGGTGTGCTAAGGAATACACTTCGACACACATATGATTCGAAATCGGTGGGGAGGTGCAGCGTCCTCTCGCTCCGCTAGTATTACCCAAACAGAGCGCTTTCTTCCGTAAGAATGGCCAATTACCCTAGTTTAACGGTGCTATGCATTTACCTACTCATACCTCAGTAAGTGTCGTCGTAGCGGTAATCCCGCTGAGGTAACTAGAGGGAGTGTATTCTGGAGCGTCCCTGCAGGCGTTGCGGTCTAACAGGTATTAGAGTAAGGAAGTCGATGCAAATGTTGTCATCTCGGAGGTAGCCGCTTCGCGAGGAGGTATGGTGATGCACCTACCAGTAGGAGGTTAAATTACCGCAGTTGTTGTAGGTAAATCCCACTGTGGTAAATGGTGGTATGGCCAGCTCAGACGCCCCGGTAGGCTTTACGTTTCACCATCAGCGGTAGACTGGAGGGGTAAGGCCCTATGATGGGTCGATGCTTGCCCCTTCGAAGTGTAATCTGTGAAGTGGTGAGGGAGAAATAGGTCCGCCTCGGACCAGGAAGGGGCAATGGGGACGCGCTCTTCAATAGGTTCATCCATTGAAGGCTGCCCGCAGCTTGAGTTCGGAATAGCCAATTACCATCGGAGTAGCAGTGCGTAGCAAGGGGGAATGCTGAGACAGATGTATGATACCAGGAGTCTAAGAGGTTGGAATGGCACCAGAAGCCCTTCATTGAATTCAGACCGGGTATCTCGGTTAAAGCATAATTGATTGGACACATCGACTCACGGCAGGTCGGCACCGGCAGATTTTGCTATCCATCTCGTAAGGGATGTTCAGTCCAATCAGCGGACGATAACAAGTGGCCAACTGGAGCACGATACAACGGAGGGAAGTAATTCCCCCATAGTTGTGTTCCATAGCCCGCGTGCGTAGCAAATTCATGGATAGAGATGGATCACGAAGGGGTACCAATGAAAGTCCGGATCTACGGTAGGTGAAAGGGCGCGGTTAAAATGCTCCAGTCTACCTGGTAACTTGACGGCAGGAGGAGCTCCTCTCACCCTCAGGAGGTTAGAGGTGGGAGCGGGAATCTACCCAGTTCCGTCTTAACACGGTCACATGGAGCAATTCAGAGGATGAAGCCTCGAGTACGGATCGGAAGCGTTGGCCTCATAGCCTCCCAGGACACTGCAAGCGAAGAGATAAGTTGGCGTCACCAGTCCAAATCCTGATTTTGCCGGCCCTCAGGAGTGCTCAAATCAAGCGGTGAAGTACCTCACGAACAGTGATCCAGAATGGCAGTACAATCAAGGGGTGAAATTCACCGACCAGTATCGGAACAGACCGGGTTAAGTAACATGGCAAAGGTTAGGGAATCGGTGAGTAGATGCTACGAGGAGGGTGTGTGTCCAAAAGGCATTCATTTGGGGAAAGTGGTGGAAGACGAAAGAGGTAAAAGGTTTGTAGTGGATGGAGAGGTAGATGTGGTAAAAGAACAGTGGTTGAAGGAGAGATCAGTCATCGTTGTGTTCCAGGGAGACGCCCGGTCGCTCTCAAGAGCAGTTAAGGAGGACTTGATAAGGGCATTTGAAGACGGTTGGACGGTGAAGAGACTATTCAAACCAGAGACAAGGCGAGGAAGGGTCAAGTTTGAAGGGCCAAATGTAGCCTCCTACGGAGCGAAAGCCAAAGAGATTGCGGAATGGCTAATTCAACAAAAGGAGATGTCGATAAGGCTGAAGGAGGGGAAGAACTATACAGTTCACTTCAGACCACGCCTTTCGAAGCAGGAACTGCAGGAGATCCAAATCCTAGAAGCCGAATCAAAATTCTGGATTATGGCTCTCAGAGTGCCGCTGGAAGCATATTTTTATTTCGTTAGCGCAGTGGAGGCCATATTCGGCGGGTATTCGTCAATGTAGTCACCGGAGTACGACAAGGACAGACCGAAGTTAATGAATGTCAAGTTTGACATGCCACCTGAGTCAAGGACCAGAATAGAAGATGAACTGACGATCCAATCGCCGATGGAGGAGAGCTGGAAGGTGGAGATCGTAACATCGTACACAGACTGGTGTCGCAGATGCAGGTGGTACTTCCACACAGAAGACAACTGCCCGAAGATCAAGACCAAGGGGGACAGTCGCGGGGGTAGTGGGGAAAGACCCGGGGGTCACAAGGAGAGATCCAGGTGGGGAGAGAGAGGGGGCGGTCGCAGACGCACTCAGAGGGCGAAAGGCAGGCGGTGGGACACTTGGAAGGAGGAAGCGGGACGAAGCCGGGGGGACCTCACCCCGACCTGGAGACAGAACCAGACAGAGACTCCGCTAGGAGGAGGAGGTGGCTCAGGGCCTTGGGACACAGGAGCCCGCCAGGTACCATACCAAACAATTGCAGAAGAACTCTCAAAGTCATCAATTTCCTCCAAGTCCAAGGTTAGATGGGGCAGTGAATGATGTGAAATGAACTATGGAAAATTGCATAGGTCTGCATCTTCCTCCTCGTTGGAAAGCTCGGCTCAGTCTGGGGCAGCGAAAGACGCAGGTCACAAAGGGCCACAGGCAAGCAGCAAAGGTCCAGCGACGCTGGAGAGGAACCAGATGGAGACAGTCCAAAGGTGCCTGGTTCCACTCCTGTGCACCAAGGCGGACGACTGGGTATACTTGATGGCACTAACAGATGAGGAAGGAGCTGCAAAAATCCCATCCCAAGTGGTGGAATGTTCACCATCCCCGGCGCTGATCATGGAGACCACCAAGACGCTCTACGGAGAGCATGTTCCAGTGCGGTTGATCCCGCACTCTTCGATGGTACGAGTTATATGTGAATCTGTACAGGGCTACACCAAGATGTACTTTCCCATCTTGGACGCCCGCGTTCCGCCAGAAACAGCGAACCTCCTAGCGCAGTTGGGAGTCAGATGGATCCATATGGACCTGGTTCGGGAGCGGAACATGCAGGAGTTGGAAGCCATTAAAGTTTTACCAGGCATTTCAGCACTGGTCCTGCTAAATGTCTATGAAAAGCTGCTCCCCGAAGAGAACCTCCACTCCGAGTTCCTGTCGCAGAGCCTATCAGAAGAATGGAAATCCATTTCAAGAGCGAGCTCCTCGCAGGGCAGTTCCTGCAGGCACTCGAAATACCAGTCGAAGACAACCAGGAGAACGACCAGAGCCGACCAGTAGCAACCGTCGACACAACGATCCCCTTCCCGCATCCATTCAAAGGCGGACGCTTCCTGCAACGATGGACAAGTTTAGAATGACAATATGGAACGTGAGAGGACTAGGGGACACCAATGGCAGAATGAAGCGTAGGAGACCGCGATCATGGGTACACGAGCGTAGGATTGGGTGCATGATGCTGCATGAGACAAAGTTAAATGAAACTAAGCTGAGGGAGTTTGCGGGGTGGTGGGACGGATCCCAGATCTGGTCCCCTGCCCAAGGGACCAGAGGAGGGGTCGGTATCTTGCTACACAGGGACATGCAAGCACAAGTGATCGATGCGGAGGCGGATCTGTGGGGAAGGTGGGCTTGGATGAAGGTAGTATTAAGAGGGGAGGAATGGGTAATTATGACTATCTACGCGCCAACGAACTGGAGGGAAAGGGCCAAATTCTTTTCGAGGCTAAGGATGATTGCCCTAAGGGCAGAAAGACTGGTAATTGTCGGTGATTGGAACGTGTCGCTTGATGAGGCATTGCGTCCGGGCGCAGGCAGAGGGGACGTAGCCCTGCTGGACATCAACGCTAATCTGTCGGTGAGGGACCCATTCCCATCGCTGGACCCTGATGATCCGGGCTACACTTGGTTCTCCAATCTGTTAAGGGACAGACAGACCGTCACCAGGAGACGGTTGGACTATTTTCTGCTGAGTGAGAATACAACGGAGAGAGTCACAGCAGTCCGCCAGAGCTGTCACCCCATGTCGGACCACAAACCGGTGATAGCGGACATCAGTTTTTCCACAGGCGCGGAGCGGGGAAAGGGTTTTTTCCGGCTGAACAGCCAGGTGCTCCAGGTGTCAGGCATTGGGAATGGGTAACAGATCACATGGCCAAATGGGAGGGGGCGAGGCAACACTTCGACACAGCAGCGGAGTGGCTGGACGGAGGCATCGTCATAGAGTCCGGAGTGCTGGACGTCTGCTCGAGAATCCTGGCCAGAGCAAGAAATGTGAAGGAAGCGGAGTGTAGGAGGAGAATAGAGGAGGCAGAGGATCGGATGGAGGGACACCCAATATCGGTCATGGTATGGGCGGCCGAAAGAGAAAGAAGAATGGCAGAGTGGGACAACCTGCAGGAGGAAAAAGAGAGAAGATGGGTGGAAATCCTGCAATTGAAGGGAGTGGAAACTCATGACAGAATGACGAAGGAGACGTTTCAAAAGCTGCAACCACGAAGGACGCAGCAACAGATGGTGGAGCTGCGTCACTCTTTCAACGCATCAGCCCCCTCAGCGTGCTCATCTTCGAGTATGCTGCAGTACGCGTGCCTATACTACTCGGACATCCTGACTTCGAGGCGATTGCAGGACAGCGTTGATACACACCTCTCTCAAGTATCGAACATGTGGGAGGACACTACGGTCAGACTACACGCGGGCGGTAGGCTGGACCTGGACCGTCCACTCACCTTGGAAGAAATCTCTCAAACTGTCAAGACCATGGCGAAGGGCAAGTCCCCAGGGGTGGATGGACTCACTGTCGAGTTCTACATTGCAAACTGGACTGTCTTTGGGCCTCTGCTGGTAGAACTCTACAACGAGGTCCTAGTGGGGGGTAAGCTGGGGAAGGGTATGACACACGGAGTTATTGCAGTCTTATTCAAGAAAGGCGACAAGGCAGACATAAGGAACTGGAGGCCCATCTCGCTACTAAACGTGTCCTACAAGATCCTAGCCAAATCGTTGGCCAGAAAATTGGCTAGGTATCTTCCGGAACTAGTGGCACCTGACCGAGGCGCGTTTGTGCAGGGACGCTCGATCTTCAACAACATAGTTACGACAATTGAAACGCTTGAAGTGATCCAGCAAGAGAATCTAGACTACGCTGTCCTGCAGCTGGACCTGGAGAAGGCTTACGACAAAGTAGGCTGGACTTTCGTGCTCACTACATTGCGCTGGATGGGCTTCGGGGAAGGGTTTTGTGCGTGGGTCATTGCTCTATACACCTTCTCCACAGCCGCAGTTATGATCAACGGGCACTTGTCAGAGCCTTTTCCACTCACAAGGTCACTTAGACAGGTTTGTCCTCTAGCACCGCTCATCTTTGTGATCCAGTTGGAGGTGATGCTGAACAAGATCCGGGCTCACCCGGTAATTCGAGGACTGCAGCTGCACGCGGGTCAAGAATGCAGGGTGAAGGCGCTGGCCGACGACTTATTTGCAGTTTGTGAAAACTCCGAGTCAGCGTTGTCAGCATTGAAGGATGTACTATGTGAGTACTCTGCGCTGTCGGAGGTATCTGTGAACTGGTGTAAGTCGACTTACCTCCTCCCAGCGCAGTATGTACTTAGAGTGGAATGGGGAATGAAGAGCGTAGCGAGGGGAGAGGAAGAACGATTTTTGGGGGTCCTAGTCAGCCTGCAGATTGAGTCCTTAACGCAGGGCCTGTTACTCCAACAACGGATAACCTCAAGACTGAGAATTTGGGGGTTGGTCTGGCACCTATCGCTGATAGGCCGAGCACTGGTGGCCAACGCAGCCCTGTTATCCATCCTCTGGTTTGTCACCACGGTTTATGAACTGGCTGATGGTTTGGCTAGAGCCATTCGGAGATTGGTAGCCCGTTTTATCTGGAAACCGAGAGCGCAGACCTCCGAGTCTTTCATCTCCAAAGTGGCACTTGATACCCTGTCCTTTCCGCGAGAGAAAGGGGGACTGGGATTGGTGGATCCGGTAAGGAAGAATCAAGCCCAACTATTATGTTGGATCAAGAAAGTTGTTGGGGCAGGAGAGACAGAACACTGGGTAGCACTGGCGGAGCGCATCCTAATGGCGGAATGGGAGCTGAGTCGCCCAAAAGATGTCTGGGCCTGCTTCTTTATCCCTTCGTTCAGGAAGAAGAGGCTCAAGTCTGGGTTCTGGGAGCCCATCAGGAAGGCTTAGAGGAGGATGCCACCTGATTCCAGATCCACTCCCACCACGAAGGAAGAAGTCCTAAACCAACTGCTGTTTGAGAACCCCACCGTCGTTGATCCCACAGGCGCCCCAATCTCCACGGACGGAAAGCCAGGAACCTTTGGTCAAGCCTGGGTGAGAAGGGGGGTGGTGAGAATGGAGGACGTTTGGTCTCTAACGCTAGGAGGGTGGATCCCACTCAGAGAACTCAGACTGAAGCTAAGAGGTCTGCAATGTACTGAAGATCACTGGCATCAAATCATAGAGGCTATACCTCAGGAGTGGCTGCGGATCCTTGGCCCGGAAGGAACCGATCCAGCAGGCACATGGTACATCTCAGATATAGAGCACAGAGGAGATGTTCTCTGGAAAGTTTTGGAGGTCCTACCCAGCGGGTTCAGGAGAGTGGAACGATGGCGTAATGCAGGCCCTCTGAACCTGCTCTCATACATGGAGGAGACAACAACCACGGCATGGGACAACCCCAGCCAGGCGAGGGTAGTGGAAGTGCGTACCAAAGGAACAAGGTTGAAACACCTCTCTTGGCTCGGCAAGACGCCGCTGAGAAATCTGCGTTTCGATCCATTGGCCTGGGCCTGGTAAGCCAATGCAACAGGAGACAAGGAAGTCATCATGCAGGATTACACAGTGTCCCTCAAATACCAAATGGCCGCCAAATCCCTGAAATCACCGGCTAAAGTGGCGGCTACCAGATGGCAAGCGGTGCTGCAGGGGGAACTCGTAAGGACGGAGCAGGACTTTGAGAACCTGTGGAAGAACCTGACCAGATTACCCAATGGTAAACAAATGAGTATTCTCTGGATGCTCTTCTTACTGGTAACCCCGTCAGCAGTCTGGTTAATCAGCAGGGGAATGCAGGTGGGGTTGAGTTGTTCAAGGTGCAGATGGCCGTTCGAGTCCACGCGACACCTTTGGTGGGAATGTCCAACATCCAAACGTGTCTGGAAATGGTGGGAATACCATTGGAGGAAGTTTGGGGGTCAGGAGGTGGAATGGAATGAGCGGTGGGTGCTGTTGGGATTTCTCCCTTCCACATTGAACGGAAGCAGAGGGTGGGGGTACGTCGCGAATGTGGTGAGGGGTCTGATTTGCGAAGTGGTTTGGCTGGACAGAAACAGAGCAAGATTCCAGCAGAAGCCCCTCTCAGACGTGGAAATCAAAAGCCTCATCAAAAAGGGTCTCAGGCAGACAATCTGGTGGATTGGAGAAGGAAGACCATGGCTGGCAAGGGGAGCAGTAGACAGCGTCGCTGGTTCCTGCACACTTGGGCAAAGAACAACCAGCTTGCAGGAGTTCACCCAGAGAAGGGATTAGTACTTGCCCACTTGATAGAGGAGTTAGATAATCCGGGGAACATTTAGGCACGCACCTGGCTGGAAAGCCTTTCGCGTGGGGCCAGGGCACTAGGCCCCTGTTAAGGTCGATGTGGGCCACTAGGTGAGTGTCGGTAGGACCAGGACTTTAGTCCTCTGGGCCGAGCTAGTCCGAGATTAGATTAGCTAAGTAGGTACCCCACTAAGGGCTTTTCGGTGGGTAGGATGATGTGTTACTCTGGATCTGGAATACTAGGGCCCGACCCTATTACTGTAGTAACTGCTTCACAAACGCAAGCCCTGTCTTAGACTTAGTAACTGGATTGGCTGCTTCGGAAGGCGAAATTTTAACTTTATGGTAGGAATCTGGAAAGTTGTCAGTTTGAACTTTCCGCAGGCACATGCCTGTAAGCTAAGTTGGCTGATGCTGTCAGTATTCCGGGTAGAATTGGGAGGTCCCCGACCTCGAATTGATATTTGGAATGAAAGGTAACTGATTTAAAAAAAAAAAAAAATCACTTGCCCAGAAGCAGGCAGGTACGATCTGTAGCTCACCAGAGAAGAAAGGCAAAGCAAGTCTTTTTCTTACCCTAGAACTGGAGTGGTAATCCCAACTGAGGTAAAAAGACTGATTGAGTATAAAGATTAACTGGGGTAAAAAGTTTAACTTAGGTAAAAAAACTGATGGGGTATAGCTTACTTGTCACGGGCTATGGATCAACCTGATGTCTTTATCACCCAACAACAAGCACTGAGGGATAGCCAAGGATCCAGGAACGAGGGGCAGTAGCGATCGCTTGTAACAAAGTTTCTCAGGGTGTAATGCTAGGTGAAAACGGTGGAGGGAATCAGGCTCGGTGAAGTCGAGGTAAATAGAGAGGCGACCTGGATATGCGTCTCGGCCACGCTAGGTTAAAAGCTAAGAGGCAATATAAGAAAGCGTAAAATCTCTCGTCTTCCCGGGTTAATACTTCCTCGACTGACCAAGTTGGATGGTTTCTCTGGCCGGGTAGTGATACTGGAGGTGATACTGGAGGTGAGGCTATACCCGTTACCTTCGCAACGGAAGGGAGATGTTGGTACAAGCTCATTCAGAAGAGGCACAAAAGGGTGATTACCAGGGGACGCAGGTGGCCCGATCAGCGAAGTAACGATTTAGGGCCGTGAGTGCTCTCTCGTCACACGCCGGCAGTCAGGTCAGACAACAGTGCCGAGAATCCCCGCATAGTAAGAGTACTTCAAGCCTCCGAAAGAATTATCACTGAGACCCCGGCTACATCCAGAAGCAAGGGTGCACGGCAACAGGTGGTGGCGTCAGTCCAATAGGCTGCTGTCGTGGCGGGACGCGAACGGTGTGCGAAGGTAATTTCAGCAACAAAGCTTTGGATTACTCAACGTTCGCTGGGAGCGATATCTTAGCGGACGAGGGGCACTAAGCTGTAAGTGTACGGATTACTCAAATTCATCCGGATCGGTTTGAAGGGCACACTCTCACATTCTGGTAAGGGGAGATTCAGAGCCTCTCGGGACAGGGAACCCAGAGAGGAACCGCCCCCGTCTGTAATCTAGCAGTAATTCGCTCGGAGGTGCAGACCGGGACAGAGGAAATGTAGACGTAGAGCATTATTAGTGGCGTTCCTCGGAGAAAGCGACTTATTAGCCTTCTCCCAGGTAACAGCGCGTCGCCACCTCTTATCTGGCACATGTGTTGGTTTACCCATCTGTTGTGAAGACACAGCAGCAATATGGGAAATATAGCTGGCAGAGGAGCGGAACAGCAAGTGAATCCAGTCACGACTGAGGAAAACCGATCAAGAATACGAGACTCGGTGAGTCGCTGTTACGATGAAGGAGTGTGCCTAGATGACATACATCTGGGAGAAGTAATTGAAGACGAAGGGGGTAAGCGTTTTGTTGTAAATGAGTTGATGAACAAGGTAAGAGACGAATGGTTAAAAGAGAGGTTTGTTATTGTAACCTTCCAAGGCGAAGCCCGTAGCCTCACGAGACCGGTCAAGGAGGATCTGATTTGGGCGTATGAGGATGGTTGGACAGCCAGGCGGTTATTTCACCCGGACAACAGACGTGGGAGGATAAAGTTTGAAGGTCCTAATGTCGTATCCTACGTTGCAAAAGCAAAGGAGATTGCGGATTGGCTCATTCAAGAAGGGGAGTTGAAGATCAAACTGGGCACAAAGGAGTACAAGGTGTTGTTCAAGCCACGTCTGTCTCAGCACGAACTACAAAAAGTCAGGCTCCAAGAGGCAGAGAGGAAATTCTGGATCATGGCTCTAAGGGTCCCGTTGGACGCCTACTTCTACCTAAGGAGTGCGGTAAAGGGCATGTTCGGTGAAGTGTTAGAAATGCACAACCCGGAGTATGAGAAAGACAGGCCAAGACTCATGAATGTCAAATTCGACATGCCGTCTGAGTCAAGAGGCAACATTGATGACGAGCTAGTGATAGAGTCACCTCAAGGAGATCGCTGGAAAGTGGATATAGTTTCACCGTATACGGATTGCTGCAGAAGGTGCAAATGGTATTACCATACGGAGGAGTCCTGCCCTCGTCGTCAGAACGAGGAGGGCCGCAGAAACAACGACAAAAGGCAAGGGGGTCACAGGGCAAGATTCCAGGAGTTTTTGACAAACCAGGGAGTGGAAGCGGTGCAGAGCTCGAGAAACGGACCAGACGCTGACCAGCAGATGAGACACTCGCAACAACAATCGAGACAGGCTCGCCAGCAAGAAAGACGAGCACATGCGAGCCATGAACATGTGGAGTCAGCTATACAGCAATACGGTCCCAGTGCATCGGGTCAAAGGTCCCTCCTCAGAGAGGGTGCCCAAGTGCAATGTACACCTCACCACAGAGAGTACCAGGACTGGAGGGGGGATCAAATATGGAGGGGGGATCAAATATGGGGAACGATGAACGTACAAGCCTCAGGCCAGGCATCACTGCCCCTGTGGCAGCCAAGAGAGGGGTGGCCAGACCAGAACGCAGAAGAACTGCACAGAGAACCGGTCAGAGACAGAGGATTCGCGGGGGGCCCGGCTCATCCAACGTGGCAAGATAACTACGAACACAACTCCCTACCGGACGTAGGAGTGTTCTATCAACATCAACAAGGCACAGGAAGTGGATGGGGGCCTGGTTCGGGACACGGGTTTATTGAGCACCCCCAACCCAGATACCCATCAGCGACATATGATTGGAGGCAGCTCGCCCCTCCTCCGTAAGACAGGGGGCTGCAAGCACCGGATCTGCTTAGAAGGGAAGACAGCGGGAAATCATTCAGAAGACGGCAAAAAGGTTACAGAACAATATGGGATGGCCAGAAGGAAGACAGTTGGAGAGGGAAGGGGGAAAGCTCCCAGATGTGGAGGCCAGCCCCCTCCCAACCGTTCCCTACGGTCCGAGAGGAAGAGGAGGTTGCGGGAGGGAGAGAGGCATCAGTGTACCAGCCAAACGCCACGAAACTCAGGGAAGAACTGAATGCGAAGAACATGACTGTGGCAAATCAGTGGCTTCGTCGGTGGAGAGCTCTGCAGGATCGGGCCAAAGAGTGGCAAGTAGACCAAAGGAGACAATCGACAGGAGTAGAAGGGCGGATGCTGTCAAGAGGAATCAGATGGAAACTGTTCAAAGATGTCTGGCTCCACTTCTATGCACGCATACGGAGAAAGGTGCGTTCTTCCTAACTACAACAGACACAGAAGGATTCCCGCAAATCCCCTTAGAGGAGGTAGGGCGGTCCCCCACTCCAGCCAAGATCCTGGAGTGTACCAGAAGGTTGTATGGGACACACGTCCCGGTCAGGCTCATTCCGCATTGCACAATGGCGAGTATCCTGTGCGAGTCTGTGCAAGGATTCAAGAAAATTTATTTCCCCTTGCTGGACGCATGGATCACTCCGGAAACAGAGGGTCTGCTGGCTCAAGGCGGCATTAGGTGGTTCCACATGGACGTCATTCTCCCTGGTATCTCTGCGCTGGCGCTGTTGAACATCAACGAAAAGTTGTTGGTTGAGGAAAATCTACATTCAAATTATCTCGTGTCTCGGCTAACGGAAGAATGGAGGTCGAGCTCGCACACCAGCTCCTCCAGGGCCAACTCGGAGCAGCAGCGATCAAGGGGCAACTCTGGCAGCAGGGCACACCAGGTGGGCCAGGATCCATCCCGCATCCAATCAAAGGCGGGTGACGGTCAACAACATGATGGATAAGATCAGGGCAGTAACCTGGAACGTAAGGGGTATCGGGGACACGAATGGTAGAGAGAAAAGGAGTCGGTTAAAATCCTGGCTGCATGAATGGAGGGCAAACTGCATAATATTGCAGGAAACTAAGCTTAGCGAGGCTAAGCTGAGTGGGATGGCGACATGGTGGGACGGGCCGCAGGTATGGGCCCCGGCGCGGAAAACCAGAGGAGTGGCAATCCTATTGCACCGAGACCTCTAAGCCTGCGTAATAGAAGCGGAAGCGGACCTGTGGGGCAGATGGGCATGGATGAAGGTTCTAGTGGCCAACGAAGAGTGGGTGTTCATGACAATCTACGCCCCGACGGTCGTGAGTGAAAGAGCGAAGTTTTTCAGCCGATTGCTGCAGCACATCCCAAAAACGGAGAAGTTGCTGATAGGTGGAGACTGGAACCTGAGCCTGGATGAGGCACTGAGGATAGGCTCCCCACAAGCAGGCAGGAGAGATGCTCAGACCCTGCTGGAGCTGAGCGAGGAGCTAGACTTGGTAGACCCCTTCCCAGCCCTCAACCAAGGAGACCTGGGGTACACCTGGTACTCTCATCTGCACAGAGACAGACAACAAATTACTAGAAGAAGGCTGGATTTCTTCCTGCTCAGCGAACTCTCATAAGACCAAGTCACAATGGTACGAGCCTCTTGCAGTCCGCTGTCGGATCACAAACCAGTTGTTGCTGATCTTAGACTAAATCAGAACGTCTCAAGGGGAAAGGGTTTCTTTCGCCTGAATAGTCAGGTGCTAGAGGAACCCGGCGTGGGTGAGTGGGTAGCCAAACACATGGACAGTTGGGGGCGTGCGGAACCACTATTTGACTCAAAGGCACAGTGGTGAGACGGCGGGATAGCGATTGTCTCCGGTGTCCTGGATGTCATCTCTAGGATCATAGCAAGAGAGAGGAACAGGAAAAAAGCGGACTGTAGGAGAAAAGTGGAGGAAGTTGAAGAACGCATGGAGGGTCATCCCATCTCACTGATGGTTTGGGCAACAGAAAGGGAACGACGTTTAAATGAGTGGGACAAGATTCAAAAGGAAAAGCAGAGGCGATGGTCCGAAATCCTAAAGGTAAAAGGGATCGAGTCGAATGACAAGATCTCAAGGGAGACCTTCCAAAGACTACTGCCGAGAAGGACACAGACTTGAATGGTTGAGTTACGTCACTCGTTCGTCCAGGCTGCACCTGTGGCCAAATCTGCTTCAGGCATGCTGCAGTATGCGAGAATGTACTACGCGGACATTCTCACCTCCAAACGTCCACTAGACAACGCGCACACAGACCTCTCCTCCACATCGGACATGTGGGAGGACACCACAGTGAAACTGCCAATTACCGCTCGGTTGGACCTCGACAGACCGCTCACAGTGGAAGAAGTGAAGCAAACCCTCAAGTGCATGGCAAAGGGGAAGTCCCCCGGGGTTGACGGCCTGCCGGTTGAGTTTTACATCGCCAACTGGTCGGCGTTCGGCTCTGCATTGGTGGACCTCTACAACGAGGTCCTAGTGGGAGGGAAATTAGGGAAGGGCATGACACATGGTGTCATCTCAGTTCTGTTCAAAAAGGGGGACAAAGCCGAAGTCCGGAATTGGAGACCAATTTCCCTCCTGAACGTCTCGTACAAAATACTGGAGAAGACCTTGGCGCGCAAAATGTCGAGGTATTTACCATAGTTGGTGGAGAGGGACCAGGGGGCGTTTGTGCAAGGGAGATCCATCTTCAGCAACATTGTGTCCGCTATCGACGCATTGGAGTTAGTTCAGACAGAGAACCTGAACATGGCGGTCCTCCTCCTTGATTTGGAGAAGGCATATGATAAAGTGGGGTGGCCATTTGTACTTACCACACTAAGAAGAATGGAATTTGGGGAAGGTTTCTGCGCTTGGGTAGTAGCCATGTACACATACTCTACCTCTGCCGTCATGATTAACGGACATGTGTTGAAACCGTTTCCACTGTCGAGATCACTGCGACAAGGGTGTCCGCTTGCACCGCTTGTCTTCGTCCTGCAACTCGAGGTACTTCTTAACAGGATTCGTAGGCACGCGGAGATAAGAGGTTTGCACCTGCACACGGGAGAGGAGTGCAAGGTTAAGGCTTTAGCAGATGACTTGTTGGCATTAAGCGAAAACACAGTATCATCGTTGGCGGCGTTGAAGACGGTCATGTTGGAATACTCCGCACTTTCGGAAGCTACCGTGAACTGGAGTAAGTCGGTGTATCTCCTCCCAACCCAATTTGTACTTCCGGTAGAGTGGGGTATGAGAAGAGTGTTGACGGGGGAAGAAGAGAGATTCCTGGGTATACTCATTAGCCTGGAAATAGAAGCTTCGTCGCAGGGGCTCCTTCTGCAGCAGCGTATTTCAGCCAAGCTCAGATTATGGGGTACGACATCATGATGGCACTTATCCCTACTGGGTAGGGCGTTGGTTGCAAACGTGGCCCTGTTCTCAATCCTGTGGTTTGTGTCCACAGTGAGAGAGTTAGCAGCAGGAGTAGTCAAGGCGGTACAAAGACTGGTTGCCCGCTTCATATGGAAGCCCCGGGCGAAGATCTCTGAGGGGTTCATATCCAAGGTTGCGCTGGATACGCTCTGCTTCCCTCGCTCAAAGGGCGGCCTTGGTCTAGTGGACCCATCTCGTAGAAATCAGGCGCAATTACGGAATTGGGTGGCCAAGATAGCCAATATGAGGTCAAGGGATCACTGGGTATCGATGGCGGAGCAAATCCTGATGGGCGAATGGGGCATGAGCAGACCACAGGATGTCTGGGCATGTTTTTTCATGCCCTCATTTCAAAAGAAAAAGCTCAAATCCAAGTTATGGGAACCGATCAGAAAGGCCTGGAGCAGGCTCCCGCCAGACATGCAGAAGCAGCCATCCACCAAGGAGGAAGTGCTGTTACAACTCCTGTTTGAAAACCCAGCGATCATGGACCAAGACGGACAGCCACTCAAAGCGGATGGTTCCTTAGGTTCGTTCGAACAAGCATGGATCAAATGAGGTGTTGTTTGTATCTCAGACATCTAGTCAAGCCTGCAGGGTGGTTGGAAGCCCCTGGGAGAAATCAAGGAACCCCTCAGGGGTCTGCAGAGAGTGGAAGCCCACTGGAAGGTACTGGTGGAAGCTATACCTCAAGACTGGCTACAACTCCTAGGACCTGAAGGAGTAGACCCAGTTGGCAAGTGGTACGTGCCAAATCAGGAAAGGGAACAAAACACCTTGTGGAAAGTCCTGGACATCCTACCCAGCGGCTTCAGACGTGTCGAAAAGTGGAGTTGTGAGAGAGCAACGAATACGTTGTGCCTGACGGGATTAGAAACGATTCAACTGTGGGACAATCCTGCGCAGGCCAGGGTCCTGGCAACAAGAGGAAAGAGGCCAACAGATAGACTGTACACTTGGGTAGGTGGGGTACCTCTTACCCAACTTTGTATTGATCCAGCAGCCTGGAACTGGTCGCCCAAGTCGGAGGAGGAAACCGAATTATGTCTTGAGAACTACTCAGTAACTCAGGGTTACCAGCAACTCAGTCACAAGTTGAAGACCCCGACGCAAGTTGCTATCCCTCGGTGGCAGGCGGTGTGGAATGAGGATCTAGCCGGAGCAGAGAAGGACTTTGAGAGGCTTTGGGAAACTCTGACATCCCTTCCAAATGGAAAACAAATCAGAATCTTGTGGATGATCTCCCTGATGGTGTCCCCGTCTGCGGTCTGGCTCGTAAGCAGGGGCATGGAAGTAAACCTTGCATGTACACGCTGTCGGTGGTCTTTCGAATCGACCAGACATCTATGGTGGAACTGTCCCGCGTCCCAACGCATTTGGAACTGGTGGGCTTACCATTGGAAAGAGGTGGGAGGACAGGGAGTAGAATGGTCAGAAAGGTGGACGCTGTTGGGTTTTCTCCCACCACACATCGAAGGGCATCGAGGTTGGGGCTACATAGCACAGGTGGTTCGGGGTCTGCTATGCGAAACCATTTGGAAAGACAGAAACAGATCCAGGTTTGAGGGCTGACCTTTCGCTGATTTGGAGACCAAAAGGCACATCGAGCGGGGGCTGAAGCATGCCATATGGGCGGATTGGAGAAGCAAAGCAAAATCAGGGAGAGGGAACAGGGAACAACTGAAGTGGTTTCGGCTTACTTGGGCACAAGTCAGTCACCTGGTAACAATCCACCCGAGAAAGGACTTGGTCTTCTTAGATTGGTTCCTAGTAACGCCGCCAGCGAGTAACCCGTAGTCAAGTAGGAGTAGGGAGACACCAGGGCACTCGGTGCGGTAGAGCCGTAGTGGGCATTCTGGGAGAGTGCCTCTAGAGCTGGTAGAACCAGGACACTCGGTTTTGTAGGGCCGCGGTGGGCCACTAGGAGAGTGACAGTAGAATGGGACAGTTGTCCTCTGGGCCGAGTTAGTCCCAAGCTAGAGTAGTGGCTAACTTTTACTTTGTGTAGAATTCTTATTCGTCCATTTTGAACCGTTTCACTACGAGTTCGGTATTGATGTGTTCAGGGCAGTAGTGTAGCAAAAGTAATATGAAACTGCAAGAATCCAAAGTCAGGCTCGGGCATGAAACTGTTCGTACAGAAGTTAAATTAGTGCATAGGTTGTACTCTGCAATGGCAAGAGTATCCGCAAGTCTCCTACCTGTAAGCTAAGCTGACTGATGCGGTCAGATACATCCAGGTTGAATTGTGAGGTCCCCGGCCTCGTTTCGCATTATTAATGAATTACTTTTGCATGTTAAAAAAAAAAAAAAAAAAAAAAAAAAAAAAAAAAAAAAAAAACAAGAACCGAGTTTGGAAGTTGAACGGGGGACGGGTGCGAAGCGGCGCTAGCGCTGGTGCGGAACGCACTCGGTCCTAGCTCCGCCCGCCTTCGGCGGGCCTAGCCGGCGGCGATGGCTCTTGCGTAGAACCATTCGGCGTAGTCTGGCTGACTCAATGCTTTCGTGTTGACGAAAGCCTGTGGCGGTGGCCATAGCAGAGTCTTTCAGCGGCTGGAATTTTCTTGGTGTCCGTCCTTCCGAGTCGGTTTTGATGTGGGAAGTTTTTTTTTGGGTTCTTCGTGCTTTAGTTAGCGGCTTCGCTACGCTCTCTGAGGGTGACGTGGATCTTGTTTGCTAGTCATGGAAGTCGTTCATACCCCTCCGGGGGCTCAAGAAATGGGAGCTCAAGGCGATAGAGCTCAAGTCCCGAATGACAACGCATTTGAAGAAGATCGGGTGAGGGAGATGGTTAGAGCATGCTACGAAGATGGTATCCTTCCGTCGAGTATTGATGGAGGCATAATGGAAGTGAATGGCAGGGAAGTAACTTTTGTGCTGAATGATTCGATTGATGGTTTGAAGATGAAGTGGTTAAAAGCTAGGACGGTGACGGTGATTTTTCGTGACGGGGCAAGGTTCCTTCCAAGGAGAGTTAAGGAGGACGTTATTCGTGCGTATGAGGACGGTTGGATGAGAAACGACACCTTTGGAGCGAATTTTAAATGAGGGCGGATTAAGGTGGAGTCTCCAAACGTGGTTTCTTATGTGTCAAGGGCACAGGTTATTACCGATTGGATGTTAAACAAGAAGTCTGACTTTATTGACTTAGGAGTAGTCACCTACCGTACGGAATTCAAACCCTGGATGACCAGGGCGGAGCTTCGAGATTGGAGAATGACAGTTGATGAGAAGATCTTTTGGGTTGTTTTGGTTGGTGTTCCATTAGATGAGATGGTCTTCTTGCGAGACCACGTGGAAAGGGCAATTGGGATAATTGTGAAGGCCCATATACTGGAAGCTATGAGACTGACCCTAAATTGGTCAACCTGTGGTTTGACATCGACTCAAGCAGGAAGAACTTTATAAAAGACAAGATCCGGGTCAAAACCTGTCAGGGGGACTTAATGGAAGTGAAGTTGGCATGTGTGGACAGTGAATGGTGCAGAAGATGCTGTACCTTCTTCCATACGGAGGACACCTGTAGGAGATCTGCAAGGAGAAGTCAAGGGGTGTGTGCTCCTAGCAACCCACAGGGGTCTTCAGCCTCAAGCGGAGGAGTCCCTCGCCCACCATATCAAGGTCCGCTTCCAGCGCCAGGAGCAGCCACCCAGCAAGCCTCCGGGGCGGGTACCAGTAGTACGGCGCCACCTGGAGTTCCAGCGGACACCGTTCTCCGGGCCAATCCTATCTTTTCCCCTTTCCTCCAGCAGCCGAGTGGGGGGGGAGGAGTTCTGCAACCATCTCCGATCGACTCAACTATCAATCCTGCGTGGGCATCATACCTGCAAGGAATCCCGCCTCATCCATTCTTGCATCATCAACAAGGCCTCTCTATGGTCGATCCACTCCTGAATGCAAGCCCATCAGTCGTCAATTTCCATGCCTTTGCCCCTTGGATGTACGGGCAGGGGGGAGTGCCACATGCCTTGAATCAAGGTGGGGGCCTTAATCCCCTAGTTCAACAATCATCGTCCCCGGCGGGGGGTTCAACTTCTCAGGCGGGTAGCCGTGTGCGGGGAGAATCTCCCGGGAAAGCACGACGATTAAGTGAAGGCATGGGAGTTGATATTCCAATCGATGAACCATTGGCCGAAGCCTCGCATAGCTCTGAAGGTTCTTTCCGATCTGCGGCTCAAACCCCTTCGGGGGCCTCAGGTAAACGCAAATCTTCGAGAGCCCGCATGGTTGCTCTTTCGAAGGGTCAGTCTAGTGTGGAAGCGAGACTTCTTCCGTTCGCCATCTCTGCGATTAGGGATTCATTCTGGGTTGTTGCTTGGCTTGGTCTGGATGGGATCCCCTTGATGTTTAACATGTCCTGCCCTGAATCCCCGATGCCCAGTGCTACTGAAAAGTTAGCCTATTCTCTCTTTCAGGGCAAGCTTACCCTGCGACTCATTGCAGACGTATCTATGCCCCGCTTTCTGGTCAATATTGCAGGAAGCTGAGTGAAGATCTTTGCCCCTCCCTTTTTTATGTTCGTTTTGCGATGGGGCAAGTCGAATTGTTGGAGAAGGAAGGTCTCCGGTTAGAGGCAAAGAAACCGAAACTTCGACGAATTAGAGTGGCTACAAATACGACGGACGAATTCCTTCACGAACTGAACTCTAAATTGGGCAAGGATAAAAAACTCGACCCGCCGTTTCTGAAATGAGCTTTGCTCGAGCCCTGGCCACAACCTGGGGCAGTCTTGACTGGTTCAGTCCAGATCCAATCGCCTGGATCGCTGCCCATGAATGGGCAGACTTAAATTGGCTTCATGGAATATCCGTGGGTTTGGAGATTCGAATGGCAGGAACAAACGAGGCCGCTTAAAAAAATGGCTCCATGATAAGAAGGTAGATATCATCTGCCTTCAAGAGATGAAGCTGTCGGAATCTAAGATTGTGGAATTAGGAGCATGGTGGGATGGGCCACAAATTTGGTCCCCAACTCAAGGATTGAGGGGAGGAGTAACTATTTTGATCCATAGGAACCTCGAATTTGAGATCGTAGATTTTTGTGCAGATCTGTGGGGCCGCTGGTCTTGCGTAAAATTATGGATGGGAAAGCAGGAATGGGTTTTGGTTTCGATATATGCGCCAACCAACTGTAAAGAACGTGAGTTCTTTTTCAACAATCTCCCTTCAGTCATCCTGCCTTGTGAGAATTTGATTCTTGCAGGTGATTGGAACACGTCTTTGGACAAGAATGAAGTGATTAGGGGTAGTAAAGACATTAATGAGCTAACGGAATTAATGACGGATTTGAATGTGTTTGACCCATATTGTCTAATGCACCCTGGTAACCCAGGGTATACCTGGACTTCGAACATCAGGGAGGGAAAAGGTACCGTGATCAGAAGATTGAACTTTTATTTAGTTTCTCCTTCGGATTGGAATTCCACGGTCGATATTCTGGAACAACCAAATACTCTCTCTGATCATAAATCGATTTTGATTTCGCTCAACATTTCCATGACGGAAAGGGGCCCTGGGTACTTTAAAGTTAATACAGAAATTTTAAAAGATCCAGGAATCAAGGATTGGGTGCACAGGTTTTGGGCGGACTGGAAAAAAAACCGAGACTCCTTTGATTCAGTTGCCGATTGGTGGGATGCAGGGTCTGGGATATTCTCGAAGCACTTGAGTATATTTTCACGTATTTTGGCGAATGGTCGGAATAAGCGAGAGGCTGCCTTGGTTGCAAAGGTAGAATGTGCCGAGGCTCGAATGAATTTACACCCTATCTCTAACCTTGTGTGGAGCCCTATTAGGGCAAAGCACATGGTTGAGTGGGATGCCTATCAATTGGAACAATCTGAAATTTGGGCTGAGCGGTTGAAGATATTGTTGTTTATGATCACATGTCGAGAGAAACCTTCCAAAAACTAACACCCAAGTGAATCTCTCAATCAATGAGCTCGTTATCCCACCCGTTTGATCACGATCTGCCAGTTGCTCATGAGCGGAACCAGCTCTGTGAATATGCTGCCCTATACTATCAGGATATTTTAACCACCAGGCGCCCAAATGAGGATATAACAGCGGATCTTTCAGAAGGGTCGAATCACTGGTCTGCATATACAGCCAGTCTCTCTACACAGGGAAGGTTAGATATGGACCGTCCAGTTACTAAGGAAGAAGCTTGGGAGGCTCTCCATTCGATGGCGAATGGGAAAGCCCCAGGGAGTGATGGGCTCCCAGTGGAGCTGTATATAATTATCTGGGACGATATCAAGAGTGAATTAGTTGAGATCTACAATCAAGTTTTGGTAGGTAAGAATCAAGTTCTGGTAGTTGAGATCCGGAACTGGCGTCCGATCTCTGTGTTGAATATTTCATATAAATTATTAGCTAAGATACTTGCTCGTCGCCTGGGTCGGCACCTGCCGTCCTTAATCAAGTAGGATCAAGCAGCTTTTGTACAAGGCCGATCTATTTTCGACAATATTGCTACCGCAGTTGAAGCACTAGAAATTGTGGAAAGAACAAAGACTAATGTTTCTATACTAATGTTGGATTTAGAAAAAGCCTATGATCGTGTTAATTGGACATATGTTCTTACCACTCTGCGCCACTTAGGCCTTGCGGAAAACATGTGTAACTGGGTGGTGGCTTTGTACTCTTTATCTACTGCTGCGGTAATGGTTAACGACAACCTATCAGAATCCTTCTCTTTATCTAGATCTCTACGACAGGGCTGTCATCTTGCTCCCCTTCTATTTGTGATATAGATGGAGAATTTACTATGCAACATCAGAACACATCCTCAGATTATTGGTCTTAAGGCAGGTGTTGGACAGTGCAAGGTCAAGGCCCTTGCGGATGATCTTTTTGTTATTTCTGAAAACTCGACCGCCTCAATGACAGCTCTGAAAGGTTGCCTGGACGAGTATTCCGAATTGTCAGAAGCATCGGTAAATTGGGCCAAATCAGTGTTTTTTCTTCCGGACCCTTATGTACCTGGGACAAATTGGGGGATGAAAAAAATTACCACAGGTAGTTCAGAGCGTTTTTTAGGCGTTCAAGTAGCCTTGCTTTCCTGCACTGTAGATCAGGAAAATATTTTGCTGCAATGGATTACCCAAAGAGTGTCCACGTGGGGCAAAGCCTCACATCTGTCCCTTTATGGGCGGATCCTGGTAGTAAATGGGGCACTGTTCGCTTTATGGAAAAAGTTGATGCCCAATGTCCGGCTCCATCCTACTACCAAAACGGAAGTCTTGCTACAACCGTTGTTTGAAAACCCACATATCTGCCGAGCTGATGGTACGTGGTTTCCTGCAGACCTCTCTCGTGGGAGCTTTGGTAGAAAATCGATAGAAAGAGGTGTGTTGAGAATAGGGGACTTGTGGAATGAATGGGAGAACCAATGGTTGTCCCCTGTGGTCTTGAAAGAAACCCTTGGACCGGTGTGGCATGTTGAGGAAAGACTAAGAGATCTTATAGATGCGATCCCAGAGCAATGAAAATTCATCCTCAGTCCGGAGGGGGTGGATCCCCCAGGTACTTGGTACGTTAGCCGACCGTTGGAACCTACCCCAGTGTATTGGAAACTGAAGTGTATTGATGTCCAGGGCAGAGATATTTCCAGTGTTGGACAGGGAGCGACACCCCCATACAACTGGAAACATCCTCACACCCATCATTATCTGCTGCGTTAACTCAAGTTCGAGTTCGGGAGGATTGTGATGAAGAAGGAAACTGGCGATGTAAAGTATTTGCAGGAGGTATGGCTATTTCAGGTCTCAAATTGGATCCAAAAATGTGGGGTTGGAGAGGAGAAGGGAGTGGTATGCAGGACAAACCGCTGACATGCTACTCGGTGTCACAAGGGTACTTGACACAGGCCCCCCTACGCACACCAAGATCTGTTGCAGTATCTAGATGGGTGCAGGTCTTAGATCTCAATCCTGAGCTGATTGGAAAGAAATTGGACTGTTGTTGGAGCCAGTTGAAGATTGCCCCGTACCCTAGACTGGCTACTAATCTTTGGTTGCTTTCCCTTCTGGCTACCCCATCTGCGGTGAACTTGTTTCAAAGGGGAATGAAGGTGGATTTGACTTGTTCTCGATGTAACTGGGCCTATGAGTCGACCACCCATTTATGGTACGATTGCCCTGCTTCAAAGAGGATATGGGATTGGTGGGAAGCTTTTTGGGTCCGTTTGGCAGAAGGGAAGTTATCTTGGGATCGAGTCTGGGTACTTTTGGGGGGAATCCCGGATCACTTGGATCTTAAAAAGGGTTGGGGTTATATGGCCCCAGCGGCCAGAGCGGTGGGTTGCAATGTTATCTGGAAAGAGAGAAACCTACGGATTTTTGAGAATCGAGAAATGACCAACAAGGAAATTAGATCGTTATTTAAATCCTCATTGAGGAGGGTTATGCAGGTGGATTGGATAAGAAAGGGCCAAGGTTCTTGGTTTGGTGAAACTTGGGGGCTAGGCGGGAAATTGGTTAAATCAGATGAAGGGAAACTGATCTTCGATAAGTGGTTTTGGGAATGAGCAATGATAAGCGAACCTGGTACTCGGTTCTGTTGATCCACGGTAGGACGGCAGCTGGTTGGTGGTTAGGAGGGAGTACATATTGGGATTGTGGTCCTTTTGGTCCACCCGTCGTTTTAGACGGTCTGAGTAGGTATAGTTAGTATTAGGTAGCATAGAAATTTTTTTTGGTTTGTTGGTTTTTGGGCCTGTGGCTTTTGTTGGAGAGTGAGGTTTCAGGACAGCGACCTAGATTTGGTCATCTTTTGTTCCTAGATTATCCTCTGACTCTCCTTTGGATGTGTTGCACTCAGGGGGCTTCTGCTCATAAGCTAAGCTGGTTGATGCTGCCAGGGTTACTCCGGGTTGAATTGTGAGGTCCCCGGCCTCAATTTAACCTTGATAAAAAATAAAAAATAAAAACCCTGATTTCAACCACTCCGAAGGTGGACAAGATAGTTCTTGTTGGTGACTGGAACAGATCCCTCGATGATGCTCTGAATCCTGCCTCAAGGAGTGCTGGCAGCGGGGACGTAGAAAGTCTGTTGAATCTGATGAAAATGCTACTCCTCACAGATCCGTTCCAGGAGGACCCGGGGTATACATGGTATTTACACTTACATCACAACAGAAAGTGCATCACCAGACGCAGATTGGACTACCTCATAATCAGTGACCAGTTGCTGCCTAGAGTGACAACGGTTAAACACGCCAGCAGCCCACTGTCGGACCACAAGCGACCGCCGATGTAAGACTGCAGGAAGGTTGTGAGAGGGGAAAAGGCTTCTTTAGACTAAACAAGCAAGTGCTGGAGAACCCGGGTGTCAGAAAGTGGGTGGAAGATCATATGGAGAAGTGGGAGACGGCGAGAGAGTTTTTTACAAACGCTGCAGAATGGTTGGATGGGGGTCTGACTATCGTGTCTGGTGTATTAGACGTGTTGTCTCGAGTCTTGGCGAAGGAGAGGAACGTGAAGGAAGCTGAATGCAGGAAGAAAGTGGAGGAAGTCGAAGAAAGAATGGAAGGCCACCCGATTTCAGCAATGGTCTGGGCAGCGGAAAGGAAAGGAGGATGGGAGAATGGGACTCATTGCAGCAGGACAAACAGAAAAGGTGGTTGGAGCTCCTTAAAAATAAAGGGGTAGAAACACATGATCAGATGACTAAGGAAACGTTTCAGAAGTTGCAGCCGCGCCGAACGCAGCACCAGACTGTCGAACTCCGCCACCCCTTCGACGACAGCGCCCCGAATGCCATCACTGCCTCTGGGATGCTGCACTATGTGAAACTCTACTACGAAGATGTCCTCACCTCAAGAGCCCCACAGGTGGATCCGACAACTGATCTGTCAAGGGCTTCGGACATGTGGGACGACACGAAGGTTAAGCTGTCAGAATCGGCCAAGCAGGACCTGGACAGGCCAATCTCTTTGGAGGAACGGGCGCTGACAGTTAAATCGATGGCAAAAGGCAAGTCCCCGGGGATCGACGGACTGATTGTGGAGTTCTATAGCACGATGTGGAGCTCAATGGGTCCAAGATTAGTGGAACTGTATAATCAGATCTTGGAGGGAGGCAGGTTAGGGAGGGGAATGACTCACGGGGTCATCAGCATGCTGTTCAAAAAGGGAGACAAGACGGAAGTTCGGAACTAGCGGCCTATTTCTCTGTTAAACGTGTCTTATAAGATCCTGGCAAAAACTTTGGCAAGAAGGCTAGGGAGACACCTACCGGACCTGGTCGAAGCTGATCAAGGCGCC